AAATGGTCAAGGTTCAACATGTATACATACCAGTTCCCCAAGGTGAACATATTACTGTGTATCACAAACGTACACTTAATTGTTTTTCAAATCATATGATCTACATGATGGGGAGGCAAATATACACTAATATTTTTTTTTTTAAATATCAGATGATCTACATGATATGGAGACATAGTATAATGTGTTCATAGATTGAAAAACTCAGTGTTGTAAAGAGGGCACTTCTTCCTAAACTGATATGCAGATTCAGCTGTTCCTACCAAACTCTCTCCAGGCCTATAGATATAGACATGACTATGCTAAAATTTATCTAGAGTAAAATTTATCTCTAGATAAAATTTATCTAGAGCACTGGAGTAGACACACACACACACACACACACACACACACACACACACGAGGAGTACAATGGGAGGGCATCCCTCTACCTGATGTTAGGTCTTACTGTAGAGCTGTAGCCCTGAAAACTATGTAAGCTGTCACAAAAAAAGCCTATGTGGGCTGGTCAAGGGACTGCCCCATAGGTCCATGGAACAGATCCATGCACAGCTTCTTGCTATGCCAGCTGGCTTCTGATGAAGGGGCAAAGCAGTCCCATGAGGGAAGTGGCCTTTCAACAGATGGTGCTGCAACCAGTGAAATCTGTAGGCAAGAAAACTGACCCTTGACTTACATCTCACACCTTGTACACAAATTGATTCAAACTGAATCACAGATTGTAATGTAAAAGTCTGAAAATCTAGGAAGATAACATAGTAGAAACTCCTTGGGACCTAGAACTTGGTGAAGAGTTCTTAGACATGACACCTAAAATGTGACTGGTACGAGAAAAAAATTCTTCAAAAAATATTTTTGGTTTCTTCAAAATTTGACACTTTTGCTTTTTCCTAAAATATTAAAATCCTAAGATAAAAAGAACACATACAGACTGAGAGAAAGGACCTGTGTCAGTGAAGAACTCGCAGAACTACACTAACCCAATACATAAGAACATTACACCAATCCAGCAGAAAACAAGAAGAGACTCTTGTGGTGATAGGATGACCCAGGATGCCACAGTGCTGGGTCCTGACACATGTTACACAAAAGTCAGCTCCCTGGCTCTGCCAGGCATGGTGCCACAGGCCTATAGTCCTATTATTCAGGAGGCTGAGGCAGAAGGAACACAAGTTTGAGGCCAGCCTGTGCAACCTAGCAAGACCCTGTCTCAAACAGTGGAAAGGTGTCTAAGGTGTAGCTTAGTGAGGGAGCAATTGTCTAGCGTGCATGATGCACTGGGTCCAACCCCCAGGACCATGTGCACGCACGTGCACACATACACAGAGTTTGATATTGTGGTATATGTTTATGAGGTATAACTACTGGGAAAAACAGGTGACAGGTATATGAGACCATTGTGTTTGATCTTTGCAACTTCCTGTGCATCTATAACTATTTCAAAACACAGAGTGTGTAGCAAATAAAAAGGTTACCCATAAACATTTTGTTTCTTGGTGGTGGTGTAAATGGAATTGCTTCTTTTTGTTGTTGTTACTGCTGATATATAAAAATATTCTTGATTTTTGTACATTGACCTTAATCTTCTGAATTTGCTAAACTCACTTACTGGTTCTATCATTAGCTTTCCTTAGGGTTTTGTATTTGAGCAGTTACGAGATCTGCAAATTCAGTTTTATGTCTTGCTTCCCAGTCCTTGCACCTCTTGCTTGCTGTGTGTGTGTGCTGGCCTGCTGTCTCACTGTCATGCACCCATGGACACCCTTGCAGTGTGGCCAGAGCTGTACAGCAGGAACCCTTGTCATGTTAGAGGAAGCCATTCCACACCACACAGTTAATTACGATGTTAACTGGAGGTGTTTTATAGCTGTCCTTCACCAGACTTTCTCTATTTGTAGTGTTCAGTGGGAGGTTTTAACCTTGAATGTATGTCAGAGTTTTCAAGTGCCTTTTTTATGTGTTTATTAAACTGTGCATGTGTCCTTTCTTCCTTAGTTTGTTATAATGGTGTTCATATTACTCTCCATTATATCATCGGGATGGATTTGCTAAGGAGGTTGTACTCAAGAGGGATATTAGAATGCCATTTTCCTTTTTTGGCAATGCTCCTGTCAGTTTGGTATCAAGGTTATGCTGGCCTCATAAAAGGTACTGAGAATTATCTCTTCCTCTGTGATTTTCTGAAACAATTTGCACAAGATTTATGTTATTTCTTCTTGGAGTGTTTGACAGGATTCACCAGGAAACTGTCTAGGCCTGGAGTTTTCCTTTGGGGAAGATTTTTTTTAATAAAAAATTCAGTTTTTTAGTATAATATAGGACTATTCAGATTTCTGTTTCCTGCAGTGTCACTTTTGATAAGTTAAATTTTAAAAGCAGTTTGCCAACTTCATGGAAGATACCCAGCCTGTCAGCATCAAGTTGGCCGTGCCCTGCTCATGTTCTTCCAGGGTTTGCAGGGTCTTTGAAAAACCTCCTTCATCCAGTCTTCAGGATTTCTGTCTTTCTCACTGGCTCCTCTAGCTGGAAGGTTGCCGCTGTTGTTGACTTTTTTGAAGAACCAGCCTTTAGCCCTCTTCCTTTCTTCTGTCATGTAAGTATCTGGTCCTAACTTGTCATCTCTCTCTCCGGCTTACCTTAGGTTTACCTTACTCTGTCTCTTTAGGCCATTTGAGGTGAAAACCTTTAGATCATTTATCTTTCCTAACAAGAAAAGTTAAAGTACAGATTTCCCCTGTAAGGACTGTAGTAGCCATATCTCAGAAATTTTGATGTTATTAATTTCATTATGCTCCAGGTATTTTCTGATTATTTTGTGGTTCCCTCTTGATTTATAGCCTAGCTGGGTATTTCTCTCTTGGAGTTCCTGGCTTTCCTGCTTACATTACCATCTGTCTGGACATGTTGTCCACTTCCTCCAGTAGCATTCTTGGCATGTTAATCAGTTATTTCAAATTCCCAATCTGATCACTCCAAAACCACTGCCATATATATGAATCTCGTTCTGATGCCTGCTTTGTCTCTTCAAGCTATAGTGAGTTTTGTTATTTGTTTGTGTGTTTTTCTTTTGTCTTCTAACTTGGCTCTAATTTTTTTTGAAAGCAGCATAGAACATACCAATTGCTGGCTCTGGCAATACTGTCTGCTCTTCCTAAGTTACTGTTCTCTGTGTTTGCCTGCCTGTCTTTCCAGTTTGGGAACAGCAGTTTGCCCTGTGACCTCAGTTCTCTGATATATACAAGAAAAGTTGTGAATTTTCTGTTTATTTTTTTTCCTTGTTGTGAAGGAAAATGTAATGAGTCACTTTTCCGTCACTGAGACAAAATACCTGACACCCACAGCTTAAAAAGGAGCAGTTTGTTTGGCTCATGATTGCAGAGGGTTGAGTCCCTGATTGGCTGACTCTAAGGCAGAATAACCCTAAATAACTTATGTGCATTCAAAGAAATAAAACAAACTGATACAGAGAGTGGGCCATTTTTGTGGAGGAAGACACAACAAAAGTCTTTCTGTATTAGGATCTGATATGTTTTGAAATCTAGTTAGAAGACTGATTTCAAACTCAGTAGAGATTTAAATTTAAACTGGAGAAATACCCTTACTATCTAAATACTTGTATTTACCTTTATTCTTGATTGTGTCCTCTGAGGTCCTTTCTGTTTTACTTGTGCTCAAGTCTCTTCATATCTTGTGGTGATAAGGACATTGGCTATGGCATCTGCATTCCTGTGACTTAATGTCCAACGAGTTGAACGCCCTGCTGGGAGAGCTGCTGCCCCTGCCAGCCTGCCTGGAGGACATGGTGGAGGGCATGTGAGGGACGTGGTATGAGCTCGTGTGACCATCCCCAGCTCCTGAGCGAAAAGCAGGAGGTAGAAGAGCAAGGCCTCTTTATTCCCTTAGATGGAATACTCTTTTGAATCATCCCCAAGGCCTTCATTCCAGAGTGGGAAGGCTGACCCTTCACTAAAGGAAATTGCTCTCCAGTTCTTCCCTTGGGCCATCTGGGGCTGAGAGGAGGGAAAGACAGACTCAGCCAGGGCTAGTAGCTCCTGTCACTCCTTGTCCTTTTTCTTACAAAGTCACAAGCTATAATCTGGTGCCCTTCCAACAGTCTTAAAACTATCTAGTGGTATGTGTGGCCTGGCCTCTTTGTCCACACGTGTGAAAAGCTACAGTGTGACCTGTTCTTCACACCCCTGTGATGGTGATGCTCAAGACCAGCCCCACTGGGATCCATCTTTCAGAGTAAGGTCCCAGGGAGGTCTCTTGAAGAGCAGCATCCCTTGTCCTATGTGGGAAAGTTACTGTCTAGCACCCTACTTTCCACAGGGAGCATTGGCTGCCCTGCACATCTGCCTACTCTCTGTATTTGGCTCCTTGTAAGTCAACATTTGAGGCCCTCAGAACTCCTCGTACCCTGTGGGTGCACAAAGTCGTTCATTTCCTAAAGCAAGATCATGAGTGACCCAAAAGGTGCCTCTCTGGCTGTGGAATGTGGCTCTATTTGTGTCAGTAGTTAGTCCAGGAAAAAGATTTGTCGGTCCACCATAGAAATGCAAATGAAAGATCCTCCTTGCTCTGTACTGTAAACCAGATCATGTGTGTGATGTCGTAATAGAATGCCTCTAGAAGCTGGAAAATATGTTGTATTTGCCACTTCTCTTCAGGATGTACTGTTTCTAAAGCCAGTGTCCAGGGTCCTGGTTCTGGACCTGTCCCTCCCTGGTGCCCAACACAGAGTAGGCCAGCATCCCCCAGGCATAGGCTGTATAGCAAATCAGCTTTGAGAAATAGTCAGATTTTAAATCTTGGGGCTGGAGCTACAGAAACAGCATTATTTTTAAAACTGTGTTTTTAATTCTAAAAATTACATGTGCACTCTTTTTACGTTGCTTTCCTATTTGTATAGCAGAACAGCTCTGTTGTTACCTTACTCAGTTCTTTTAATCAGGTTCCTTAATCCAGACTGAGTCTTGAATGTTTTTCCTCCACGACAGGGTGAATCAGTGAAGTACTTCCTGGATAACTTGGACCGGATCGGCCAGCTGGTGAGTAACACCGCCTCCTCCTCCTCCGCATCCCCACCCCTGCCCCCACCCCGGTTCTGTGATCCAGGCTTAGAAAACCTTTATGTTGATACCAAAGCAATCAGTCAGGGCTCTGGCCATGCTAATGGGACAGCATGTTATTCCACTTGCCCTGAACAACACTCTAATGTCATGCTCTTGCTTGGATCTCTACTTTGTCTAAAGTGGAAGGGAAGAAATTGCTCTGTGAAGAAGGGTTTCCCTCAAATCACGTGAGGGAACAGAGGAGTCCGTCCTTCTGTCAAAGGAGGGTTTCCTGTAACTTGTTCCTACTGGGAAAGTCAAGCAAATACAAAAACAAGTAATATAACACAACCCCAAGTGCAGTGAGGATCACTTTGCCCTGCCCATGCCCCAAGGCCAGATCCGTACCCTTTCAACACTGGTGTTCTCTAAAAGATGAGACTCTAAGAATCACAACTACTATACCACTGAGCTCCTGAAAAACTAGCAACGATTCCTTACTGTCAGCCAGTATCCAGTTCTAAAACTTTTCCCAGCTGCCTCATTTATGTTTTCCTAGTGGTATTGCTGCTTCTTTTTTTTTAAAGAAAAACAATTTGAGTCAGCATCCTAGTAAGGTCCATTTATCACAGCTGGTCAGTGTCACATTTCTTTTAATCTATTTTCTCCTCCCATCCTTTTTTCCTCTTTACTTATTGATTGAAGTAACTAGATCACTCGTCCCATGGGATATTTTGGTCTAGATCTTGCTGACCTGCCCTTCAGTGTGGTTGACATTGCTCGTCTGTCACCTCTGTGCCCTGTGAACTGGCAGGCAGCCCTCCAATTTGAGTTTAGGGTTAGAGGTTTTGGGGAGACTGCTGCGTGGGTGGCTTTGTGCGCTGGGGCCTTTGTGCACCGGCTTTGTGCACTCTTCATAATCCATGATCACAGAAGCTGGAGAGTTGCCACTGTTGCGTTTGTGATGCTAAACACTAAAGCATTCCCCGAGAGGTTTGCTGGAGGGAAGGTTGGTGGCAGAGGGTGTGCTTAGCTGCGTAGGGCCCTGAGTTCTATCCCCACCACCAAAGAGAAAAAGTTTTCCAAGAGTAACGTGTTAGTTATATTGGAGATTAAATATAAATTTCATTGCAAAACAGCCTATAGTAAGGTTTTAAAATGCATATGCCCTGGAAGTTAGTAAGTAGAATGTACCTGTGGTGCAGAAACAAACCAAAAAAGGCAGTGAATTCCCTCAAGAAGAGAAAATCAGTGAGATTTTACACTGGAGTCTAGAAGTGAGGATTCTGATCATTCTTCCTTAGACTGATGAGCCTCCATTTGTATCGAAATGTGCTTAATCCTTTCACTTTGCTTCATGGTAAATTTATAGTTCTGTAAATGAAATTTGCTTTTGGTGTTTCGTTAAACGTATTGCAAATTAGTGTAACTTTTCTCTCCACTCTTTTTGCTTCTTGTTCTTTTTCTCTCCTGTTCTCTTCCCCTCCTGAATGTCCTGCATCCCATATTTTACAGAATTACTTCCCTAGTAAGCAAGATATCCTGCTGGCTAGGAAGGCCACCAAAGGAATTGTAGAACACGACTTCATTATTAAAAAAATCCCTTTTAAGATGGTGGATGTGGGTGGCCAGCGGTCTCAGCGCCAGAAGTGGTTCCAGTGCTTTGATGGGATCACATCCATCCTGTTCATGGTGTCCTCAAGTGAGTTTGACCAGGTCCTCATGGAAGACAGGTGCACCAACCGGCTGGTAGAGTCAATGAACATCTTTGAGACCATAGTCAACAACAAGCTGTTCTTCAATGTCTCCATCATCCTGTTCCTCAACAAGATGGACCTCCTGGTGGAGAAAGTGAAGACAGTCAGCATCAAGAAGCACTTCCCGGACTTCAAGGGCGACCCGCACCGGCTGGAGGACGTCCAGCGCTACCTGGTCCAGTGTTTCGACAGAAAGAGACGAAACCGCAGTAAACCCCTGTTCCACCACTTCACCACTGCCATCGACACCGAGAATATCCGCTTCGTGTTCCACGCCGTGAAGGACACGATCCTGCAGGAGAACCTGAAGGACATCATGCTGCAGTGAAGGAGAAAGCCCCTCATCTTGTAGCATCCCTGAGCAGCCCCACGGCTGCCGGCCGGGTCTCACGGGGGGGTGTGTCCAAGTGGCCTCCTCAGACCCATGTCACCGGACACCTGGCCACACAATGCTGTACAGCAACCAGGCCAGCAAGCATCAGGAGAAGGACACGGGGACTCTGATGTTAGCTACTGAATCTGGGGACTAGTGAAACTACTGAAAACCCGAGCGATCACCTTGGTGTTAATCTGTAATCCCTGATAACATGGCTTCCTTCTTTCTACAGAAACCCTGTTCCTTTCCTGGCACAAGGTAATCAAGTATTGTGTGTGTACACACACACTCGCTCTCTAATGATGGAAACACAGACCCAGCTGGCCTTGCAGATGGCTTCCCTCTCTAACTTGCATGTCTTCGCAGAAACAGACTAACCTGAAAGCTTTGCCTTGTAGTATTTTGCAGAGATGCATAGCGATGCTGCTGAGCTCAGAGCCCAAGCTGGCCCTGCAGTCCTGGCTCAGGGTCTGAGTGCCACCTCCCAAAGTGAACACACCGCCTTTACAGCTGTGCCAGTGTCCTAAGACCCCCCACTCCAGGTGTGTGAGGTTGTGCCAAGGAGCTGTGCCAGGGAACCCTGCCCCTCACTGTGAATGACGAGATTGGGGGCTGTGGCCCTGCCTTAATGCCCTGGCAACAGGCCTGGCCTCGTCAGCTTGCCCAACAACATGGCACAGAGTGAGGATGGCCACCACCCATGGCTCTTACTCTGTCTGGGTGCACACAGTGGTGCTTTTTAACTCCTTACCCCTCCCTCACACCCGATGGCAAAGACACATAAACCAAGTGGCCTTGCAGATAACTTCTTATTCTGACTTACGAGTCATCTTCTGACAGGACAGTTGGCAGTATGTAGCACCCTCTTGTTTTGGAAATAGTAGTGTCATCTCCCTTTCCTAGGCTTCCAGAAGCTGCAGGGAGCACTTGCAGAGCTTTTGTGAGCACCCCAGCTGCTCCAGAGTCCATCACAGCTGACCCCTCAGGAAGCCCACAAGCCCTGGAAACCCAGGAGTCATTGTGCTTTGCACGCCCCTCGGTCTCATTCCTGGCAGGGCTCTCGCTTCTGTTGCTGCACACATAGAAGCAAGCGGTGGCGAGGGTGCAAGGGTGGGCACTGTAGAAGGCTGTGCAGGTAGATAGGAGCCGGTACAGCATCAGCCTGTCCACTTACCTGCCAGATGTCTCCCTGTACATTGCCACTCCAAACTGGCCCCTCTGTTACTCTCCCAAAAGAGTCTGTCTGGGAGTGGAAGGGAGGCTTTTCCTAGCATTTCAAGCAAGAGAGAAATTGGCAACAGATGCTGCAGCTCACTAACCCGTCCGAGGGCCTGTCCCAAGGCCACGCTGCTTCTGACCTTGTGTCCCATATGCGTCTTGCTCTTGGCTCTATTCAGCAACCAGATAAATAGGAATCTGTGACTGATACTAGATCAGAAGAGGAAGAGAAGCTTGCTTCTGCGTCATCCTGTGATCATAACGCTTTCATTAGGGGACAGCAGGAAACCTTTCAGTGTTCAAAGGTTTGTGTCAGTGTTTACTGGGGTTTGGGCTCTTTTCTTTGGCTGAAGAGAAGTTGCTGTTTTTGTACTGCTTCCTGTACAGCTCTTCAAGGCTGAGGGATGTCGCTAGGGTTAGTGCCATGTTTAAGGAAATGAGTAGCCTGGCAGAGCCTACCAGGGTAGGCGTATTTGGGCATGATGAGGGGTGGCCTGTCTACACACTGAGCTGTCCTGGCCCAGTGTGTTTTCTGTATTTTGCATGGTGTCTCTTAGGCTCGAGACCCAAAGGAGAGCACAAGCTGTTCCTCCCCCACACTGGGGCGTGCTCCCGGGCTGTTGGAGGCCACCATGGCTGGTGTCCCAAGCCAGCCTCAGAGGGAAAGCTTTCCCTCTCCCAGCCTGACATATATACTGTCACTCTCCAGCCCAGAAGCACAGTAATAATGAGATATGGTGACTTCTGTTTAACGAAACAGAGAGCAGGCAGGACAGCCAGAGGCCCGGGTCCTCACCGAGCTCAGTCTCTGGCCCCAGCCCCGCTAGCTGAGCCTCCACAGCCTCCTCTTCCTAATGCGGGGGGATTAGAGCATCCATCTGTAAGGACGCCCCACTCGGAACTCTGTGAGGTGTGGGAATTGGAGAAGAGGCCTGTTTGAGGGCTAAGCTGAAATCAGTTACAACTTTTCTACACATAGATTTTAGTCATTTTTGTCTCCAAAACCTTAGGCTTTTGTATTTTTTTATTTTAATTTCACTGTTACCCTTGACTATTGTCTTTTCTTTTTTATTGCGGATGTTGGAGAAGCAGGAGGTATTCATGCCTCATCTATTACTGCAGAAATATAACAATAAACTTTCTCAAAATAAGACTCTTCCTCATAGTTATATGGTTTATACTAAAGAACACAGTGTAGGTCTTTACTGATACCTATTTTTAACTCTTGTTTGTAAAGAAATCAAAGATTTTGAGTCATAGCTCCAATTTATAGAGCTCTCTAATTCTTACTCTTGTAATTTTCCAACTTTTTGATAAAAAATGACTACAGTTATTTTAACTCCATGCTCAAAAAATTATATTGAAATAAGCTGGTTACGAGTGACAGACCTGGGGGTCCTGGGACACACTCCCTCATCTGGTGTTGTAGGACAAAGGCGTCCCTTCGGACAGTCATCCAGAGCCAGTTGCTCACGGCTTTTACTTTGCACCTGTGCTAGCAGTGGCCAGGTAGGTCTGGCTTGAAGATTTGAGTACCTTCGAGTACCTTTGGTCTCAGATACTGCTTAAAATGAAACCTTAGATTTTCTTTGTTTAACATATAATATAACTCAGTATTCAAAATGAACACTAATTTTTTATTTTTCAGTAAAAACTCCAACCCTAATGTCATTTGAAGAAGGTTCACTATTTGTCAGTCACAGCTTTCATTTCCACATACCAGAAAAGCCTGGTGTGTAGAAGAGCCTCAGAAATACTGTTTTGATTAAAGACCGTTGCCTCTGAAGTGTCTAAAAGGAGCGTGTAGCACATATGTGAACATACGTGCATGTATGAGAAGCCCTGAGGGGGGACCCAGCAATTGACTGGAGACCGGCAGTGCTGTGGTTGCAGCTCCCAGGTGAGAGGTGATGTTCCCAGCCAGAGAACGAGGAGCCACTCTAACAAAGCCCAGATGCCTCTGCTCATTGCCACAGCTGGTAGCCAGAGCCCTCTCACACTTGCCCAGCAAGCAGGCTGCTAGAAGGAGGACTGTGTCACTCGGTGCCTTGTCTGTGTGTGGCCAGCAGGGTTTGAGCCGACCCCCGTGGGAAGGCAGAAGCATGCCCACGACAGTCCACAAGGCCAAGAGGGCCCATCCCTTGGGGTCTCAATGCCTCCATTTACGAAAGTTGAAAAATAGTGATTCTCAGCTCAGGGGACAGACTTGGCTCACCTGAGCAGCTTCTGTGCCTCTCAGGATCCCTCAGACCCAGCCCTCATCTGCGTGTCCCGGGAGGCGAGTATACGGCAGGGTGGAGGGCCACAAGAGTAGACAGTCCTCCAGTGTCTTCTCAGGCAGGTGGAATGCTGCATTTGGCACGATGACCACTGTCACTCACCAGAGAGCAGCCCCTGGCTGTGACCAACAGAACCCCAGGGGGAAGCACGCTCCTTGGGTGCAGAGAAGTCCCTGCTCACAAGCTGTTCCCATGCCCAGGTGGGCAGCCCTGCAGATGCCCATTGCCAGCTTCTCTGAGGAGCCTGGGACATACATAGGAGCCTCAGGGGCCGGGCCCTATGTTCCTGTCACCCTGGCATTGGGGGGATCGGGCCTGGGCCAGTCTGAGAGCCAAGGTTGAGGCTCCAGCCAGACGGCCACACACCTGCATAAAGACAGTGCTGGAGATGACTCCACATAGCTGATGAGAGGCCAACACAGACCTCAGCTCCAGCCCCTCCCTGAGGCTGGGCCCTGGGCCCTGGGGAGAAATGGGTCAGTCAGATCCATAGGAAAAAAGTTCTTGAGTGCGGCTTGGATGGGCCAGGAGCCGATACTGCTGTGAATCATGTTTCGGGGCAGGTGGCATGCCAGCTGGTGCCCGTATCCCGGGAGAGTGAAGGTCTAGACTAGAATCTGGGAGGTAACCTCAAGTGGAGCAGTGCTACTTCTGCCTCAGCAGCCAGATTTGCAGTGTTCCACATGCTGTCCTGAGGCAGAACATCAGAGTGCTAGAGGTCTGTGGCCTACCCTTCAAAGCTCCCTAGAACCTGAAGCCTGCTTGTTCTCAGGATGGTAGAGTAGGGGATTTGATTTCCACACTGAAGTATTAATGTCTGTGCAGGTGACCAGCGGCCTGAAGCCTCCCTCGGCCCCCCTTGCGCACTACCCTGAGTGCCTTATACCCAGAACAGATAGCTCTGCCCACCTGCACGCTGCCACCCCCACTCTGAGCTCTCAGGACAGCCATACTTTGTGTACCTCAGACATTGCCTACACCTTGCTGAACCAGTCCCTCAGCAAGCTAAGCTTCTCCCACACATGAAATTCCTATGCAAGAACCACTCCCAGAACCCAAAAGGAGGAGCAAGAGGCCACCGGAAATAAGTGAGCTCCAACAAAGCCTGGCAGGATAGGTGTCCACAGGAGTTGGTGCCCATGCACACAGAACACAGGATAGGAAATGAGGAAGCTCCGAATAGACAGGTTTCCTGCCCAGAAAGCAGAGGTCATGGGTGGCCACAGAGCCGCCTTCTGTGGGCTGAATGAGAGTTGCCCTGACCTTTAACCCTGCGCTTGAGGTTCCTGGATTCAGAGCCTGCAGGCCTCACCTCTGTGGGACAGTCATCTTCTAGGGGTTGTGTTGGAAACATGGCCTATTCCTCACTCCACAGAGATGGTGGAACCTAACCCAGCTCCACCCTGCAGCCACCGTCCCCAGCTGATCTGCAAGGTCGCAGCAGTCTGAGAGCTCCGAGGCATGTGCAATGTGTGAGTGGCCGGCAGCACCCATCCCCCCAAGTGGGGGTCCCCTCTTCCACCACTCACAGCCTCGGAGTAACACAGGAGGCCGCTGCCACCAGTGTCTCTCAGGTGCCCTCAGTAAGGTTGGTGCACACCAAAGGCAGACTTGGAAACTCAGATATCAAAAACCAAACCGGACTTGCACCTGAAAGACCAGTAAAGTCAGGTGTGAGGCTGCCCTGTTCTCCTCAGCCATCAGGACGATGTGCTTTTCTAGGTTCGCCTTGGGATCAGTGGTTGGACGTTCTCACCAGCTTTTGTGAGCTGGGGCCCACAGGGTCCAGGAAAACGAAGCATCAAGTCTGTCAGTCCCAGGAACCTCACAGAACTACCATTTGACCTCGTACGCAAATTGACTTAAAACCATCTCAGTGTCCTTTAACTCCACTAGAACCAACTAAAGCCCATCACCCTGTCCCTCTGTCCTCAGAGTTAATGTGCCTGGTCCCACTCAGCACCACCTTGTGCCTAACCTGTCCCCCAGGGAGCCCAACCCACATGCTGAACAGAGCTGAGGCCCTACAGAAGGGATGAGATGGAGATGGCCTTGGCCCTGAAACTGCCCTGAGCCTGGCAGAGGTCTTAAACACCAAGAGGGCGTGATGCTCTGCCAAGGGCCCCCAGGGAACAACCACCAAAACTGCCCAGGCAGGACCACTGCACTGTAACTGGTCTCCGTTTACACATACTGTGTCTAGGCTAAGGTGAATGTGACAAAGTGTAAAAAGTGTGTCTTACAGCCATGGTGGTTTGTTCAACATGTTTTGTATATATGATTTTTACAAATTATTAAAATTTGCCTTAAATTACATCTGTCTTCCCGGCATGTTATCTCCCACTGGGACCTTCCTGAGTGTGGTCACCACCCACAGCCTCTGAGCAGCTGTGGGTAACAGTGGATCCTTGAACACGTGTTTAGCATTGCATCCATGGTCTCTGGGACAGAATCAAACCTAGACTAGTGCCTCTCCGGAAGCAGGGGTCTCCTTGTGGTCCATGTGAATGTAGGACACAGGTCTGGTGCCCAGGCCACCAGGCAGGAGGGAGGTAAGTGGTGGCTGGGCACACGGCCCTGGCCTTCCCTCGTTCCCTTCATTTATGGCAGTGATGGCAAATTTGTGAGCCTTAAAACACACAGGCAGGGGTCCCTAGCCAAGTTCGGATGGTGAGTTGTCCTGTTTTCACTTAGACTTTGAGACTGGCATCCTCCTCTTCCATCCTCCTTTTTCTGTTTGCTTGTTTGTTTGAAGACAGGGTCTCCCTATGTAGTTCAGGCTGATCTTGAACTCATGGCAGTCCTGCCTGAGCCTCCTGAGTGCTGGGATTACAGGTGTGCACCATGTAAGGCCTTCTTATTTCAGTTTTATAGCATTTATGAATTTTGAGAGGGAACATGTAATATGTATGCATGGAAAATCTGAGTAACAATGTATTCTGTGTACCCAAGTTACCTGCAGTCTCAGTACTTGGACTGGACAGTTAATGCTGCCACAGAGTCAGGCATGCTTCAGCTCATGTGGTCAGGCAAAGCTGTTCCCACTGAGCAGTCCGTCCTAGAGCCGGTGCTGCTGCCTTGAGGGAGTCTGACCCCACCTGGCAATCCTCCTTTGCCTTTTGCAGGTACGGCAGCTTGGGGTCCATGACAAGCTTTGGGCTTTGTCCTCAAGAGCCCCATGTAGAGCGATGCTTCTGGGTGCGGTGGGCCCATAGCAGGAGAGAGAACGCAGTTGGCCTTCAGACTGCCACCCACACCAGCCCCAGCAGCCTTCACTGTCACATCAGAAGGGACAGTGGCAGCTGGCATGCTGCTGCCCTGATGTCCACCAGGGGATCCCCTGCAGGCCTGGTGCGATATCAAGAGACCTGCCCTAGATCACTAGGGGGGACAGGAAGTGGCCTCTTCCTGGTACCATCTCAGGAAGACATCCTTTCACCTCCGCCCCTCCCTGCAACTTCTGCTGTCCACTGGAGACACTTGGAACACAGCTGGCGCCGTGCGCAACCTCCCTGCCATGACTTACAAGCCTCTGAACACCTTGCTGCAGACTTGAGCCCTGTGCCAGAGAAGCCTGGGTGAGGGCCACAACGGCTTGACAAGCCCAGGTGACACCAGCCTGGTTCTGGGTCAGTGCGACATTGGTGTCAGCAGCATGCCTGGGGATGGCATGGGGGTGGCCTCACTTGGGGGGGCTGGCTGGTCTCCAGTCTGGTTAATTTGTTGAGGCTGAGGTCCGCTCAGAGCAGGCCTGAGGTTGGATAGGGCTGGCTGCCGCAAGCCTCTGGGGGAGCAAGCCATTTGCAGCCCTGAGGTTGGATAGGGCTGGCTGCCGCAAGCCTCTGGGGGAGCAAGCCATTCGCAGCCCCCTCGGTGCGGCATCACCCCCGGGCACCAGCGACCCTGGACATTTCTCAGGAATGGTTGACTGAGGCTCGTTTTCACTTGCCTCTTCCCCTCAGTTACCGTGGTTTCTCGGCCGTGGAGGGGACGCTGTGAGCACTGGAAAAGGAGACAGCCATCACCACTTCACGGCTATCTGCATTTATTCTGCTTTCAAAGCCAGGTCTTCACAGCGAGGCGGGGCGTTTTCTCAGTTACTGGGCAGTGTGGACCTTTGACAGCCTGTTGTCCCGAGGGCCACAATCCTTGAGACAAGATCCCTGTGTGTGCAGTCACCCCACAGGGACCAAGCTAAAAGACTCAACAGAGGACCCCAGCCTCAGGAGCCACTGTCCCCCAAGCAGCAGCAGTGCCCTCCCCACCTGGCTGTCACCTCATGGGGAGCCCCATAGAAGGTACCTCTGTCCACCAAGGCCAGGTGCTGCCTCCAGGAGCCCTGCTGCACCATCTTTATGGGAAGGAACCATTCCGGTTGGGGACTTGCATCTTCTTACCAACAAATCCACGAAGCCCCAGCAGCTGTGGGCTTGGTTTTGGTTGGCGTCCTCACCTGGGTGCTGGCCGCTCATCCCACGTTCCTCATTCCGCCGTGGGCTTGGAGGTGTAGCAGCCACCACAGTTCCCGTTGGGCTCTGGAGCCCGGGGGGGCTCAGAGGGAGCAAATGGAGCCTGTGCTCAGCTCTGCGCTGCTGGGGCTCCGGAGGTGAGCGCCCCTGTCCACACTGGCTTCTGCAGGCATTACATGGGCTAATGGCATCTCCCTTGTGCTGTTGTTTTGAGAACGACAGCGATAGGTATAAAGTACCCCAGTACTTAGGAGGGCCCCACTGTTCTGACCTTCCTGAGCAGGTGTGGGGCCAGTAGCCAGTCTCAGAGGCCTGGTCATGCCTGCCGGCCTGTTAGGTCTGGATGGCACCTCGTCTTGGTACTCTGCACAGACCTTCTGTCGCTGGCACATTCTAGCAGCCCCTGGGAACTTCATGGGATCTAAATCTGGATCCTCAGCTTCACCATTAGCAGCTTGGCTAGGTGTAGGTTATGTGTGTGTGTGTGTGTGTGTGTGTGTGTGTGTGTGTCACTGAGCTCTGCCTTGATGTCTGCAGATAGGATTCACATACCACCCACCCTCACCCTTGCCCTTGCCCTTGCCCTGGAGAGAGCTCCAGGGCTGCTCATCCTCCTGCCCCGTGAGGTCTCCGGCACAGCAGCGGAGTGCTTCTCCTCCTGCTCTTCCTATGGGAGGCTGGGCTCCGGGTATGGGACTGCCAGACACAGGACCCATGCTCGTCACAGCCTGACTGAGACACAGGAGGCTCTCAGGAGGACCGCCAGACTGGATGACCTGTCCCTGTGGAGTCTCAACTGACGCAGAAATGAGGAAGCAATTAAACTGTGTGTGTTGCCATTTATCCCCCCTTGGCAGTTCTGGGATGGAACCCAGAGCCTCATGCATGTGAGGCAAGTGTTCTACCACTGCATGTTCCATCCCCAGCCTAATTTTGCCCAGTTTTTTAAGAAAGTTTTACACTCAGAGGCTAAAACAAGAGGATCACAAGTTCAAGCCCAACCTGAGCAACTTAGAACTTGACTCAAAATAAAAAGTTTTTAAGAGGGCTTGGGATGTAGCTCAGTGTGAAGGCCCTGGGTTTAATCCCCAGTATCACAAAAACGGAAAAGAAATTGAAAGCCCACATGGCCCCGCGCTCGCAGAGACCACCTTCTGTACGTCTTCTGTACATCTCGGCGCACAGCGGCGTCCTGCCTCAGGCTGCAGGACTTTAGGAAGATTTGGGAGACTCGGCTTTACTGACACAGTAGCACTCACTGTCACCTCCTCTGCCCTCCCATGCCACTCGTCCCCATTTGCTCTTTACTTGTCCTGGACAGAACCTAGGGCTGACGGGCAGGCAGAGAAGAAAAACATGGTTGTCCCTAAAGTTATGCTTTCAGAGCTCACCAATCTTTGAAAAGTCTATGGGTAAAAGGTTTTCCCTGATGCTACTACCTTCCACTCCCAATCTGCTCTGGGGAATCACAGGTGAGCGCCAAAGGCCTCGGGCTCAGGCAGACAGCGCTGAGGACGGGAGCCGTGTACCTGGCCCCATGTTCCTGGAGTGCTGTACCTTACCAGCTCTGCTTTATCTCATTCCAGTAATTCTTTCACAGAGGACAGAGGAAACTGAAAACGAGCAGACCATGGTGCAGGGCTGGAAGCCACAGCCAGGCCCCGCACCCCCACCCCCATGGGGCCCTGGGTCATAAATGGCCACCGCACTCATCGCCCATCTCCCACACACCGCCAGAATCTTGCCACCGCCCACTTGGGGGTACAGGCTATGTCCCCTCCCTGGGAACCCACAGAGGGCTCAGTGACTGCCCAGATGGGGAGCAGAAATGACACCCTGGAACTCCAAGCTGAGTCAGGAGGGCTACGCCCTGTAATAAGGAGGCCCAGGCCCCTGCCCCTGAACTGAAACCTGGGGTTCCGGCTGTGCTTGTGGCCACCTCCCCACCCCGCTCTGCCCAAACTGGATTCCCGGGCAGTGGTTATAGTTTGTTGGCAGCAACAGGCGTCTGGGTCTGGCCTTCCACTCTGCCGTGCTGCCCACTGCTGGCATCCCCTGGGGCTCACTTCTTAAAAGACCTGGCTTGTCACTGGCTCCCCTTCACCCTGTCCCAGTGACCTCCTGACGGTGGGGCAGTCTCGAGCCAGAACAGAGCAGGGACCCGATGAGGGGCCTGTGGAGCTGCTAAGCTGTGAGTCTCTCCTCTCCCTCTGCCCAGGCTGGACGTGGGGACCAGGACTACACCACCAGGCCCCTGTCAGGATCACAGGGAGGCATCAGTGCCCCTCCCCTGCCGGGTCCTGCTAATCTTATATTCCTACTGTGGCCTCAAAGCTGTCTGAGCTCCCCATCCAGCAGATGCACGAGCTGCTCTCAGCTCTTCTCAGGAGGGAAAGCCAAGGATTCTGCCACAGAAGCGTCTCTCCCTGTGACTCTGATACTGCAGGCTGGGACACCTATGATGACTGGCCACTTCGGGAACACAATTGAGTGTGTGCACGCAAGAGCTTCAAAATATGTGACACCGGAGTGAAGGGAGGCAGACAGCTCTACAGCTGTGATGGATTTTAACACCCCTCTGGAGGAACTGATAGAAGCAGACCACAGAACAAAATATCTATAAAGACGGATGAGCTGGACGCCCATCCCAGCCTTGGCCTAACTGGTATCAACAGTGTAGCCGCCTTTGTCAGAAAACTTCCCCCCAAATGTCACTGCAGTCTGTTTCCACCACTGCCAGTGACGGCATACAGAGGTCTCCCAGGACAACAAGTTCCTCTTCTTTCCCATCCTCAGCCCTGAAAACTAGATGCTCTCCTCTTGTGCAGCAGCTGTCGGAGAAACCACAGGCCCAGTGGGCCCTGGCTCCGCCCATGTAGCGATGCCTTGGAGTTCCAAGGACCGAACACTGCTCCAGCCACAGTACGTGACCATGCGTGTGGCCAGGGCACCACAGAAACAAACCATCGCTTCCCCCAGGAAGTGGGTGGGCAGCTGCCAAGCCCCTGGACGGTCACTAGGGCCCTGAGGGGGAAGGCTGAGGGTGCTGCACCACAGGTGCACATGGCCAGAGTGCACTCAGGGACCTAAGGTGCCCACAGGTGGCACCTGCTCAGCTTCTGGAAGGGAGCTTTCAACCCTGCAGGCCACTTCACTACACTACTGCTCCTCCCCCTCCCAGCGACAGGGGGAGGTCTCCACCTTGGAGACCCTGCGCACACTCAGGCGCCGTTTCAGGGAGGAGAACTTGTCCCCCAGGACCTTGCGCAGCCCCGCACTGTCCCTGCCACAGGGTCGGTCCTGCCTGGTGGCTGGGAGCTGCCCCGTGAACATTTCCCACGGCTCCAGGGCATCCACAGCCCTGTCTACCTGTGCCAGTTCCTCCTCAGCCACCTCCCGCTCCAGAGCCTCAATGCATGTGGCCAGCCACCGTCCGTGCTCTTCGATGGCCTCCATGGGGCCCCCAAGCCTTGGCAGCACCTCCGCGGCCTCCAGGGAGCTCAGCTCATCCTCTGGGCCCTCTAGGAAAGCATGACTCCACACGTCAGGTGTGCCAGGCTCTGAGAGGCTGGTGCCGGGCTCTGAGTCGCTCTCACAGCACATGCCTGAGTCAGCGCTGACAGGCAGGGTGGTCTCGGACACAGACGGCTCTCCGGCCTCCGGGCTGGGCCATGTCCCCGCTACTGCCTGAGTCCAAGTGTGGAGTCTCTGAGAGGGAGAAACATACCTGAGTCCTCTGCTTGGGCACTTGTCAGGGCCTCAGCTATCCTCAGATACCCTGGGGCCAGTATCAGGCTGGTGCCCCTTCTGCAGTGCCTCTGAGGCTGAGACTCCAGCCGTGCCTAAGCCAGATAGTCAAGCCCACATGAGTCCCCATGTGCAGGTGGGCAGGCCCATGGCCGCCCAGCAGGGACCCTGGACACTGGCAGATGGTACAAAGCAGAGCTTTTTCCAGCCAGGCCCCTGATGGCTCCAGTCCTCGGGTTGCCCCCGAATGGGGTCAGACGCTCCCTGTCACATCACTCCTAACTGTCCCCCAGTCTGTCCCCAGAGATGTGGCCACTGAACGCCGTGGAGAGTGTGGGTACAAATAAGGTACCACGCCCACCCCCTCGGGTCCCTGCTCCTCAGGGAGGAGGCAGGCAGCAGGATAGGTAAAGAAGTTCACGCTAGATAGTCGAACAGGACCCCAAATGATGGTCATAAAATGACAAGTCTCAATCTCCAGGCAGACCAGAGCCATCCATCATCACCCATTACACAGCTTCATGAAGACAGTGGCCTGTGCAGAGTGTCCCCCAGGTGGCAAGGGTCACCCCAGATGCCCCTCTGTGGACACCACTGAGTCACTGAGACACAGGCTCCCCAGCCCCTGAGCCTTGCTCTGAGATATTCCAGCTGCAGTTGTCCCTGCAGGGGGCGGCCCTGTGGTCCCGAGAAGAGCAGGGGCTTCCCAGAACCACGAGAGCTGAGTCATCAATACCACCAGGGTCCCGGAAACGTTTGGTCTCCCGAGAGGCGGGTCTCTGCCTTCACCAAAGACTTGTGCTTCCGGCCAAAGGGGCATTTAAAGAAAAGTGAGCCCTACTCGCCTTCGCACTCCGAACTCAGTAGAGTTCCTGAGTGTGGAAACAAATCTTCCTGCAGCTGTAAAGAAGGGGCTGGGGGCTGTGTGGCCAGGCTGCCTGCAGAGGGCAGCACCACCTCACCAAGTGCCCGTCGCGCTGGCCTAGGGTTGGGAGTGTCCCCTTCAGCCCCTCTGGGTGGCAGAAGCCACACCCCAAGGAAGTGGCTCCGGAGAAGGAAAAAGGAGGGCAGGTAGCAGCACTGATGCCCAGTAAGTGTCAGCCTCCAACTGGCTGAGATAGGAAACAGCCCCTCACAGGCTGAGTGCCCCCTGCACGAGGCAGCACAGCCAGCGACAGTTTCCCAGGCCCAGCAGGTGGCAGAGCTCATGGCAGGTCCTTACCCCAACACAGCCACAGTCCTGGACTCGCCCACGTGCCAGACCCCTGCTAAGGACTCCACCTGCTGCCAGGGAGACCAGTGAGGTCCAGAGGAGCGTGACACAGCACAGGCCTGCTCCTCCCCCGCTGACCCGAGTCACTGCATGCCGCAGCACGCGCTGTGCTCACCTTGTACCTGTCCAGGAGCTGGAAGCCCAGGACGTGCTGTAGCTTCCGCAGGCAGATGGGGCAAAGGTCCAGGGGCCACCGCAGGACTTCGTCCAGGCTGAGTGCCCCCTGCATGAGGCAGCGCAGCCAGCGACAGTTCCCCAGGCCCATCAGGTGGCAGAGCTCATGGCAGGTGACCTGGGAGGAGGGGACACCACCTTGCCCGGGCCTTCCACTCGTGACCCTGGAGACGTCGGAGCAGCCCTCCAGGAGCCCAACGCCCAGGGTGAGGCCAGACTACAGGAAGTGGTCCGAGTGCCCCTCCCAGGTGGCAAAAGGCCTGGGAGCCAGACAGACATGGAGTCAGAGCCCAACCTGCGACCTCATAGCTTTGTGGCCTTGGGCAAAACAATTGGCATCGCTGAGTCTCAGTTTCCTCGCTTTACGAGCATCTCCTTCAAAGTGAGACTGACCACGTAGAGCGCTTGTGGGATCTACTCACACACCCATGCCCTCCCATGCCCATGCCCATGCCCACCTTGCAGCACTGTACCATCCCCAGGGCGCTGAAGCATAGCCTCTGGCCACCATCCTGTAGCAGGACCTCAGGGCCATCCACCGCCGCCTCCACCGGGGCCAGTTCAGGAGCGCTGGGCGCCAGCTGCAAGAACTCCCCCGCAAACCGGGCAAAGCTGCAGATGCCCACCTCTAGGGAGAGGAAAGGGACTCAGGGGCAGCCTCAGCCTCAGGGGGCCCACAGTCCCTGCCCCCACCCCACCTTCTCTAACCGTGGCCAAGGAGGGGCCAAGCCTAGGGAGCAGCCCTTGCCCAGGAGCAAGACTGTGGACCTTGGGGCTGTTTCCAGGTGTGTGTCCCCCTCCCTAGCACCTTGGCCTTCTCATGAGGCTCCTCCCCACTCACCGTGCCCTGGAAGGAAGGTGCTAAAGGTGAAGCTCCAGGCCTCGCAGGGGTACAGATCTGACAATGTGAGGCCCAGCACGCACAGTGCGTCGTCCGGCTTGTTGTTCTTCAGGAAGGACAGGATGCCGTCTGCGGGGAAGGCAGGCGCTGGGAGGCAGGAGATAGCTGGGTCGCAGCTCCACCCAGGGCTCTGGGAAGGAAAACCTGTCTCCCTCCTCTCGTTCTGCCTGGGACCAACCCTTCCCAAGGCCAGGCACAAGCTAGCCATCTTGGGCATGTGAGACCTCAAGGCAGCTACAGGGGGTCAGGGAAATGTGGGTCCTCTAGGCAGTGACATCTCAGCTGTTTCCTCCACAGCCACCCCCAAGCTAAACTGGCAGGACTAAGATGCCCATTCACAGCCCAGGGCAGTTGCTGGAAAGGCATCCAGGCCAATGAGACGGTGTTAGGGAAATGCCGCCACAGGCACAGGAAGGGGCAGCTGCCGCGGCTACTGAATGAGTGGCCTGTGCAGAGTGTCCCCCAGGTGGCAAGGGTCACCCCAGATGCCCCTCTGTGGACACCACTGAGTCAGAGACACAGGCTCCCCAGCCCCTGAGCCTTGCTCTGAGATACTCCGGCTGCAGTTGTCCCTGCAGGAGGCGGCCCTGTGATCCCCAAAGATGCCCGTGTCCCAACCCCAGGCCCTGTGCACAGGTCACCTCACATGGCAAAAGGGACTGTGGGTGTGGATGGAGATGTCAAGCTCGGGATCATTCTGCTGTATCTGAGTGGGCCTCATAACCAGAGGGAGGTGGAGACCCGGCGGGACCAGGGTCAGAGAGAGGGCTGCGAGGTCCCAGGAAAGCCAGAGGAGGGTCTCGGTGCCTACAGAAGGGAAAAGCACCTCACAGGGAGAAGTACCTAAAAAGTGGGTGGTGGCTGCAGGAGCCTCGCCATAGAGGTTAAGGCAGAGGGTAGGCTACAGGGGTCAGTGACCTAGTAAAGGGAAGGCCTAGTCAGCTGGGTGGGAGGAAGGGGCAGAATCATCCCCGGCTGGCGTTTCCCTGACATAAAGAACCAGGCAGGAAGAGGCGGGGAAGCGGGCAAGGTCCTTGGGTCACGGTCCTGCATCCCTGGGAGGGTGTAGGTGGAAGGACACAAGGTAACAGTGCTGAGCCCTGAAGCCCAGTCTGGGGCAGACTGAGCTAAGAGCAGAACAAGCAGGACCCCTGGGTTCCCTGGCGCTCAGACAAGTTCACAGTCGGGGCGACAGGGACAGAGCGGCAGATGCCATGGGATGACAGAGGCCATGATTATGATCTGAGCTGTGGGTGACAGCCAAGTGCATTGCTGTCCAATGGAAACAGCACAAGCTACTCAAGTAACTTTGAACTTCCCTGATTTAACCTAAGATATCTAAAATGGTATTTTAACAGGTAATGGAATTTTAGGGTTGTGAGTTTCTATATTGTTTTTCCTTCTAAGTTTTCACATCCGGTATATGTTTTACATTCATTGCACATTTCAGACTGGCCACATTTTATACATCCAGTGGCCACTGCCCCGGACAGCACGGGTCTAGGGTGTGATCTTGGGAGACGAGTGGCTGAGATCTCAAGGACAGGTCGAGAAATTCTGGCTATGAACATGACGATGATGATGATAATGATTGTTACAGACTCAAATGTGCCCTCCAAAAAGAAGTCCTAACCCTTGCTACCTACAAATGTGACCTTATTTGGAAACAGGTTCTTGCAGATGTCACCAGTGTGGGACTGAAATCCAGCCTGACTGCTGGAAGAAAGAGACACAGGAAAAAGCCAGGGAAGACACGGGCGGAGATTGGGGTCTTGCATCTGCACTCCAGGGACTCCAAGGAACATGGAAGGAGGCCAACAAGGACCCTGTCTTGAACTTTCAGAGGGCATGGGGCTGCTGACACCTTGCTGTCAGCCTCCAGGACCATGAGGCAAGAGATTTCCATTGCGGGAGCCCCATAGTCTGTGGCGCTGTGTCAGAGGTAGACACAGAGCTCTAAGCCAAACCCACCTGAGCACAGCCCCACCCAGCTCAGCACCAGTGCAGAGCCCCCAGTGTCCAGGTAGCCTCTGAAGTGTGGGGTGACGGTGCCGGAGGTCTCTAAGCTACCTCAGTCACCCGACAGGCAGGACATAAGCACAGGCATAAGCCCCTCGTGTGGCGTAGAAGAGAGGGCCAGGAGGTCAGCCTCTGTCTGGGGCTAGATCCAGGGCAGGCTGTGCTGCGCCTGGGTCCCTTCTAGGCCCTGCAGGGTGTGGGCTGCGCCCAGCAAGCAGGCTTGTTCTCAGTGACCACATGTGAAGACTGGGACCTGGAGGAGCATGTCACTGGGGCGGACACCTCCACCCCAGCCTGGGAGTCCTGTTAACCCCAAAAATAGCACAGGTTGCTCCTGGTCAGGCAGGCTGGGGACCACAGCAGTGCTGCCACTGCCCTCGCCATCAAAGAGGAGGGCTGAGCACAGGACAGTGAGGAAGGAGGCCGTGAGGAATGCACACACCAAGACTCAGAACGGTATCTAACAATTACGCCCCGGTAAGCTTTAAATCAAGCAGGGATCTGCCAGGGAAGCGAACAGGAGAGGCCCGGACTAGATGTGATGGAGCTGCTAAGCGTGGTGGCGCACGCCTGTAATCCCAGCATTCAGGGGCCTGAGGCAGGAGGATCACTGTGAGTTCGAGGCCAGTCTAGGTTACACAGGGAGTTCAAGGCCAGCTTAAACTACATAGTGAGACCCTGCCTCAACCAATCAATCAATCAATCAGTGTGATGGAGCTGGGCTATTCCCAAACAGAAAGCAGGCAGGTTGACCCTAGTGACATCCCCACACACTGAAGAGGTTGCAGTCTATGCCCCTGAGGGTCACCAAGGAGCCACCCAGGAAAGTGTCACATTTTTATCCCAGCCAGAGCCTGGAAGAGGGAAGAGAAAATCCCATCTGCAGACAATGATCGTCCCAGGCCACAAATTACCCTAACAGGTAAACTAAGTTTTCAAAGAAGACATCAACAAATAATGAAAAATAGCACAAGTAAACAACTGAGACAAAGCCAGCAGGAAGAACTAACACTGTCCACAGCCAAGCCTGGGACCAGGCCACTGGGCCCAGCCCCAGAGCGGTGACACTGCTGAGCCGAGAAGGGGTCCACAGGAGCTGTGAAACAGAGACACACGGCCGAGAGGAGGAATCGGGGTGGGGAGGTGCCTGCAGAGGCGGAGGACCGCGGACTGAAACCCACACACTCAGAGCAGATGGGTGCGGAAGGAACAGCCAGGCTCCTACACGCGCAGCGAGCCCCAGTTGGAGAACAGGCACCGGCCCGGCGGCATTTGAGCGGCTGAGAGTTTCTCAGAACTGTGGCCAATACCAGCCCAGTGACTCCAGGCCCGATGTCAGCCTCTTCTTGCAACCTCCCTGCACGCACACCTGGGCGTCCTGTCCACCTAGAGCCCTGTGTGACAGCGCCTCTCAGCCGGCCCCATCCCAGCAGCCAGTGACCTGCAGGAGAAGGTGGGCCAGGGTCTGCAGTCCCCTACACAGACACACAGGCCTTTGCAAACAAGAGGCTAGAGAGCCGGCCTCCAGCAGCCGCTTCACCTCCTATGCCCGCTGCATACTGTTCCAGCTGGCCCTGAACCATGCAGTCTCCAGACACTTCAGTGTGGGAAAGGAACCCTTGTTTCCCCCACCTCTTCCTTCCACTGTACCTGCCCCGGCTTTACTCACCTGTATGCAGCTGCAGCCCGGCTGAGTCCCGGCGGGGGCGTGAGGAGCAGCGAATGGACTCAGCCGCCACCGAGGGCAGGCACTTGACCCGCAGGCCCAGGAAGAAGGCCTCGGCGCAGCTCCGCAGGCAGTCCAGCAGGGGGCAGCCCAGCGGCTCCTCACTTAGATCTGAAGGCAGAGAGGCCCCACTGCTCAGTGAACTACTGACAGGTGGGCGGACAGCGGGAGGGGGAAGTGGGGGGTGGGGACTAGTGTGCCCCATTCAGGCTGCAAAAGACCAGCCTGGCTGGCAGAAGGGCTGGCACCAATGTGGGCAAGGGAGGGACTCAGCTGCCACAGAGTAGGAGGACATAAGCCCAGACCAGGTGTGCAGACCAGTGTCTTCACCCCAGCCTGTCAGAAGTACAAGTCCCAGTCCAAACCCCACACTACAGCGAGGTACTGCTTGTCACCCAGCAGAGTGAGGAGACTGGAGCTATCTGCAGGACGCTGGTGAAAAGGGACTGGTCCCAGAAAGGTCTAAGCAGAGCCTGCAGGCTGCGGAGTGACAGAGAGCGAGACTCACAGTGCCCGCAGCACTCTGGTCGCTCATGGCAAGGAGGTGGCAACAGCTCATGGCAAGGAGGTGGCACTCCCAAGCCCGGTGCCACATTGTCCGCAGGGCCTTTCTGCCAGGCTGGGGCCACCTGCATGCTGAGGTCCCAGAGGCCAGCCTTCCCTTACCGCAACCCCAGCACCTGGCTGAGCTGTTCTCTCAGCCTTTGGCCCCCAGTGTCCCTAGTCTCTGCCAGACAGAGTCCTAGACTCCAGCAGCCACACTGGGGTCCCCACCATTCTCAGCCCAGCATCTCCCAGTATCATACCAGGTTCAAATCCTGCCTCTGCCAATACTGGTCAGGGAACCTCTCCCAGCCCGTTTCCCCACCTGTGAAATGAGCTGATCTAACAACCCAAGAGGAAGTAGCCTTGTACAGCATGGAGCCTGGGGTGGTGCTGGTTTCAAGAGATGTGGCTTGGACCCTGCATACCTGGGCCACGCAGCACCCATAGGTCAAATGGGCCTGTAGCCCAGGCTTTCCAACCGTGTCAGAGGTGGACAGCGGAAGGACTCCAGGCCTCCCTGCCCACCGCAAATCCTGAGCCACCCACCCCACCCCAGCCCCCACTCCTGGGCAGTGCCAGGCTGGCCCTGGCCCTCTGTACCTATGGGCTGCAGGTAAATGTGCTTCCGTGCCAGACTCTGTAGGCGGTGTGGCAGGGTGGCGTGGAAGGTAGCAAAGTCCTCAGGGGCCTCAGGGCGGCTCAGGAGCCAGTCGAAGGCTGAGTAGATGAGCAGCGGATGGAAGAGGGTCCTGTGTGGGTTGTAGGCCTCAGCCAGGAACAGCCGCTCTGCCAGGGAGAAGGCGGCAGCATAGCACTGCTGCAGTCCTGCGTCGCTGGAGACCAGGGCATCCCGCAGCACGCGAGGCCCGAAGCTGAACTCCTGGGCCGGCCTACAGGGCAGCATGGCAGGCAGGCGGGGCCTGGCCACTTCCGGGAGCCCCTGTTGCTGCCCATGAGCCGTCCTGGGGACAGCCAGGGTCTCCTATGGAACTGTCCCTCAGGGTGATAGGCAGGGCTCTTGGGGGCCACCAGTGGGCGTGTGGGGCACAGCTCTGTCTTGCGCTGCACCTCCTCAGCACATCGAGGGGAGGCATGGGCACCTCCAGGCCTGCCAGCACCTGTGGGGTAGACAGAGGTGCCACTGTCACTGCTGGGCATATGCAAGGCTGTGGCAACCACAGAGAAAAAGGGCAGATTTCCTGGGGCCTGGCGTCTGTGTCCTAGGACCCAGCTCTGCCCCCAGCCCAGGCAGAGAAACTACTTCCCCTTCCCTCAAAGGCTGGGTCCTTAATCCAGAATTGAGCAGGGGAGCCTGTCTTCCGCCGATAGAGAGCTGCTTCCAAGGTCCTCAAGCAAGGCTCTCAACCCTCCCCTGAGCCCTCGGGAGGAAGGGACATAAGAAGACAACACCACCATTTGCACAGCGCCCCTGCAAAGCCAGCGGGGACCCTCCAGGCAGGACATCAGAAACTGCTCTCCACTTCATGACTGCAAAACGGCCTCCATCACAGGGGCATCCACCTCAGCTTCCTGTGGGAACCCCCAGGAGGCAAGGGTGGGGGAGGAAAGCCACCTCAACAGCCCCCAGACCCAGTAGTTTCCGGGCACATGAGTGTGAGGGGTCAGAGACACAATGAAGTAGCAGGGCTGGCCTGGCTGTCAGCCGCTACAGCCTGAACTAGAGTGATGCAGAGAAGCAAGGAGAGCGTTGGAACCGCTGGGATGGCCAGGCGGGGCGAGGAGACGGGGCACTGTGCTACAAACCAGAGTTGGGGTGGCACTGTGCTCATCAGAAACACACCTGAGAAGCTGCAGGGGAGCACCTGGCCCTGCCCACGGGCTGCTTGGCTTGCCTTTATGTCCTGTGCAGACGATATTGATGGGAATCGGCTTGGAGGGGTGGTAAGGAGCAGAGATAAAGGAAGGGGCAGTGAGGGGGGGAAACAGGTGTGAGGGTGCAGACAAGAGTCAGAGGGGCAGGAAACGAATCAGGACCAACAACACATGGGCCAGGGACACTCATCCCAGGAGGCCCAGCCCGGCCTGCACAACAGCTTCCTCAAAGGGCCCTGAGCTTGGGGCCTCGCAGCCCCACCAGAAAACCAGCAGTGGAGAGAACGTCAAGCTCTACATGCTCTTCAGCTAACCCTAACTTAAAGTAGGAACCTGCAAAATATGTTTATATACAAGGTACCGTCTAAATATATGGTGTTGAAATAATTAATTACAGTAAAAGACATTACCATGAATCCCCCTCAAAGGCCTCCCGCTCATTTCAAACACACAGAAGTGTTCTTGCCACTTTCTGAAGCAGTTCTGGAAGTCCTCTTTCATGAGAGTCTTTACAGGGTGTGATTAAAACTACCATCAGTACTGATGCTGGGTGCCATCCAATGGAAAGGCAGGCTCATAAAAACATGACAGCGTGTCCTCATCCACCTCATTCACTGGATCTGGCCCTGAACAACTCTGGATCTTCCCCAAAGTCAAAACGACCGTGACAGGGAAACGTTTTGAATCAATTCAAGACATCAAGCCAGCCACAATGGTGCAACTGAAGACGCAAAAGAGGGCTTCCAGAACTGCTTAGGAAAGTGGCAAGAGTGACGGGCTGTGTGTGCTTGAGGTGAGGGGAAGGATTCTGAAGGGGACTCATGACAATGTGTCTTTTACAGTAATTTTTTAAATTAAATATTCACCATATTTTGAAATCACACCTCGTATACTCAGGCACATGTTACTGTAATGTGTGCACATATAAACCCATAATCTTTTTTCCAAAACATAGCACTGGAGTAAAGGAGGGAAGGAGTTGGCCTTGAATTTTCATCAAGATCCCGCCCACCTAGTAAAGTTTATGCTTTCTCTCTCTCTCTCTCTCTCTCTCTCTCTATATATATATATATATATATATATATATACCAATAAAATTTGCAATATTTGCAAAATTTTTTAAACAAATCATATTTTTGCTTAGCATGTTATGGACATTTTCTAAAAGTCTTAAACAATCTATAAAAACACCACTGTCACTGGGCGTGGTGGCACACACCTGCAATCCCAGCACTCGAGAGGTTAAAACAGGAGGATCGCCATGAGTTCAAGTCCAGTCTGGGATACACAGTCAGTTCAAGGCCAGCCGGAACTACATAACAAGACCCTGTCTCAAAAAATAAAACAAACAAAAAAAACATTGTCAGTGGCTACCCCCAAATGCCGTGACCCTCATCTTTGTAAAGCAGTCCCTTTCTATGTCCTCTGAAAGGATCCCAGAGGGGGAAAGACCACATGCAGCTGTTTAGAGCATCTTGTTTTGTAACACCAAATCACTTCCGGGAAAGGTCACATCCACCCGTGTACAGTCCAGCAGCAAATAAAAAGAACTACCAAGGTCGCCAAACCTGCTAGGTCCCAGGCAGAGCTTCGCCATGTTAACACCCAGACCCGAGGTACACGTTCCAGGAGGATGAAATCAAGGGGGGTAGACCAAGCCACACCACACATGAGAATGACATGGGAGAATGGCACATGCCTATGATCCCAGCACTCTAAGAGGCTGAGGTGGGAGGAACAAAAGCTGGAGTGCAATTTGGACAACTTAATGATTTAGCAAGACCCTGTCTCAAAATTTAAAAAGGGCTGGGGATGTAGCTCAGTGCTAAGGCCCTGGGTTCAACCCCCAGTACAGAAAACCAAAACCAAAACAATCACGTGGGAGCAGAACACACCAATTTCCCAGCACCGTGATCCCTACTGCTGGGAGTACTTGGGTTTGCAACCACATGCCCACCACCAGACACCAGGGAAGGGCTCGCTCCAGGTCCCATCTGGGGCACTTTTGCTATGGGATGTACAACCTGGTCCTGATGTGGATGGAAAACCCCACTAGAACCTCCAATGGGGGAGAGGATGAAACCTCCCCTGCATCGGGAAAGGCCATGGGGTGGGGGTGGGGCTTCCCAGAGAACTGAGGAAAAGCAGTGAGAAACTGAATTTCCATGGAGATCCCTCCCAACGAGACCGTGAGCTGAATTTCCAAAGATGTCTGGGCAGGGTCCCAGCGCAGGAGGACACTCAGGTTTGTCTGCTTCATTTATTCATTCATTCGACCTGTAGCTACTGCATTAGAACTCACCAAAGAAACGACCAACAGGAGGGGAAAAGGTGTGTATATGTGTATTTATCTACATATATGATTGGTGGTGAGGAACCGGTCCCATGATAGCAGGAGAATTCTCTACCTATGTCTCAAGTTGGAGCTCCAGAAAGCTGGTGGTGAAATTCAGCGTGGAGAAGGGTGAATCCCTCCAACCTCTGCCCTTTGCTCTATCCAGGCCTCCACGTGGTTGAGAGGTACCTGCCCTCATAGGGGAGGGCAGTCTGCTTTACTGTATCCCCCATCCTAATGCTAATGTCATCAGCAACACTGCTCACCTCTGCCACACCAAGAAGCAGAGTTTCAGGGTTACCTCATGCTTCCTGCACTGCACAGGGTCTCAAGAATGGGAGCTGAAGTTTCCTGCCGAGTCTTCCCCCTTGGCATGGCTCTTTGCATACCCAGAGCCCCAACCCAGGAAGTGGATCCGTAAGATTAACTGTCACAGTCACCAAGTGCTGACTACACCAAAGTCTCTGTAGTGACCTTGGCCAACACACGGGGGCAAAACGAATAGGCTCTTGGCCTGGCAAAGCTTAGATTCTATGAGTAGAGAGGCGATGGTAAAAGCATTGTAACTAAATAATGTGCAAAGCTGGGCAGGGTGATGCACAACTATAATATACGCACTCTAGGAGGCTGAGGCAAGAGGATCGTTAAGTGTGAGCCCAGCCAAGGAAACTTAGTGAGACCCTGTCTCAAATTAAAAAACAAAAAAGGGCTGGGGATGGTGCTCAGTATGAAGGTCCTGGGTTCAATCCCCAATACTAGAAGTTCTACAAACGTGGATCTGAGGGACAGTGCTGAGCTGGGAGTCAGGATCTTAGTGAACTGTGCAACACTGGGTGGGTGGCTCTCCCTCTCTGAACCTCAGTCCATTTTTTTGTGTGTGTGTGCTTTGGATTGAACCCAGCACTGAGCTACATTCAGCTACACTGAGCTCAGCCCTTCTTATTTTATTTTGAGACAGGGTCTTACTAAGTTGCCCAGGCTGGGCAGGAACTTTCAGTCCTCCTGCCTCAGCCTCCTGAGTAGCTGGGATTACAGGCTCTGAAAAAAAGCAATGTGCAAATCAGCTGGAAAGTGACAGATGCTAGTGCAAAGAAAAGAGAAAGAGCGCCATGGCAAGAGGCTGTGGGGGTCACCTAGCAGCTCAGGAGGCGAGGAAGAAGCAAGTGTCCCAGAAGAGGAAGTGCCTGCAAAGCGCAACCCCCCCCCCACAGACAGCCTGGTGGGTACCAGGGACACAGGGGCATCCAGGAGGCCAGTGTGGCTGGCATGCCTGAGGGAAAGAGCCAGGGCCCGGTCAGGGAGCGTGGGCTGTCTTAGGAACACTGGCCTCACTCTGGGGGTGGTAGAGCTGCTGCTGGGCTCTGAGTGCAGGGTTGCAAGCAGCTCTGGGAAGCCTAGCCATCCCCTAGGGCAGCAACCCCAGCCAGCCCCAGGTATGGTCAGTGGGCTGTGATCTCAGAAAACCCCTGAAGCCCAAACATCCTCAACCTCAGCTGGGAGTCTGACATGAACTTGGCCCTCTAACCCCACTGTGCCTCAGTGTCCTCCCAGCAAACCTTCTGCCTTCCCTTCTCAGAGCCCAGCCGAGCCCAGCAGGGGGAGGAGGTGCCCAGGCACAAGGCCTACAAGCTGTCCCCAGCACCTGCCTCCTCCTGCCTCTCACCAGCCTATTTTGGTCTCTTGATGCTGGGCACAGCACCCACTTCCAAACACCTCACTCAGCCCAGACCTTCTGTCATGAACACCAACCCCCAGCAGAAGGCAGGCATGGGCCTCCATGCTCGGCCATCTTTGCATGATTCCCCAGTGCTGCAGCCAGCCCTGAACCACCTTCCTGGACTTGGGAAAGGCAGCTTCAGCTTCTCCCTTTCCAAGTGGTCTGCACCATAGCTTCCCAGAGGAAGGGAACTGAGATAGACTGGATATTCGCAAATGGTCTGAACAGCCCTGGGTGATGTCCTTCTTCTACATCTTGTAAAGTCCCCAAGGGCACTTTTTGATCTGACCTTGGTAGCCCTGACATGTGATTACCAGCAATCACCCATCTCATAACTGCAAAGACAGAGCCTGTAATCCCAGCTACTCAGGAGGCTGAGGCAGGAGAACTGAAAGTTCCCGCCCAGCCTGGGCAACTTAGTAAGACCCTGTCTCAAAATAAAATAAGAAGGGCTGAGCTCAGTGTAGCTGAATGTAGTTCAGCGCTGGGTTCAATCCGAAGCACACACACAAAAAAAATGGACTGAGGTTCAGAGAGGGAGAGCCACCCACCCAGTGTTGCACAGTTCACTAAGATCCTGACTCCCAACTCAGCACTGTCCCTCAGATCCACACTTGTAGAACTTCTACCTATAGACTCCTCCCCTCCCCCCATTAGCACTTACAGACCCTTGCCAGGTCTTCACTGCCAACACACACTCCTACCCCAGGTAAAGCCTCAGAAATTGAGAAATGTTTTCTTTTTACCAAAAGTTTGCTGGTTCCAGTTGTGTCTGTCCCAAGTGTGAACGGACTCAAAACGCCGGCTTCAGGCCCATCTCAGCTGATGGAAGCCCAAACCCCATAGCCAGAGGAAGGTCCACAGCAGTGTGCAAGGAGGGGCCATCAAGGACAGATTCACATTGTCCAAATCAGCTAGAGACCCTCGGTCGTGCATCTGTATAGCTGGGCAGATCCTGGTGCTGAAGTTCTCCATGTTCTGGTTTTAGAGCCCCTTTTATTTATTTATTTTTTTTTTGGTTTTTCTCCGGTACCGGGAACCGAACTCACGACCTTGCGCTTGCCAGGCAGGCGCTTTGCCGCTGAGCTAAATCCCCAGCCCTAGAGCCCCTTTTAAAGCAGTGGGAAATCACAGGGACCTTTCCTCTAGGCTGGTTTTATCTATCAATATTCTCCATGCCTGAGCCTAAAACCAAAAAATGCAGGAATCCCAAGACCATGAAGTCCCCTCCACCAGCCCCTGGAAAACCCCACAGTAGCTCCTGAAGGAAAGGAAATGGCAGGTGACCAAGTAGTGCCACCGTGGGAATTGTAACCTTATGCGTCCCCCGCAGGGTCTCAAGAATGAGGGTTGTAGCTTTCTGCCCAGTCTTCATTCCTGGGATGGCTCTTCACACACCCACAGCAGCATGAGCACCCAGGTGCCAGAGACAAAGCACCATAGCAGCTACCGTGCAAAGCACCGGAGACCAGGTCAGGGCTCAGAGTGGTGGGAGCCCAGCTCCAAACGGCTGGGTGGAGCTCAGAGGGCCATGAGAGGTGGGTCTGAAAGCAGCCACCTCCCAACACAGCCTAGAGGATGGCTTGAGAGGTTATAAGTCAGGCAGAAGAGTGCACAAGTCCCTCTGTCCCTCCCTATGTCCCTGGGTCCCCCACACGGATGTCCGCCTAGATAACATTCCTCTGGAGAAGCCTGGGTGGCCACACTCATGTTCCTGGGTCATTAGGGGAATTCCCACCCTCAGCTGCCACCTAAGTCCTTCCACCCTGTCCAACATTTCTGCCCGAGGCTAGAGGGGACACTGTGTCCCCAGCAGAGAAGGGGTCAGGCAGGGACTCACACCCCCTGCCAAGGAGCAGGAGCTGTAGTTAACAGTGGGGACAGCTCCTGGCCTTCTCTGCCACCTACCAACCCATCATCTCAGTTGTGGTCACTGCTCTAAAAGAAACCTCCAGAACTGGAGCCATGGCTGTGGTCTGGGGCCTGCCACAGTCTGCCCCATGCCCCTCAGCTATCCTCATGACAGCAGCTGCTGTGCCCAACAGCATACGATGCTCTGCCCATGTCACTAAAGCCTTTAGATCTCACAGAGGCGAAGGTGCCACTATGTGTCAGACAGGGAAACAGAGGCTCAGAGACGTTAAATGATTTAGCCACGGTCACACACAGCTGGGAGGCAGCAGGGCCTGGTTGCCATGCTGTGTCCCACTCTGGAACCCCTAGCATGCTGAGGGGACTCTAGACCGAGCCTCTCTAACAAGCAGGGTTGTAACCTGGCCCCTTTCCAAAGTAGTACTTTCCTGCCCAGGGGCCCCTCCCACCTCCCTGCCTGGGGAGGGTGCGTCCTTGTCCACGCTCTTCCTTCCCAGGAGGGTCTGCCACTCTGACAAGGGCAGCCTGATCTACTGGGTGACAGAGGTCAGCAGCCCAGCGCCAGGCACTTGTCCTCCCCCACCTGGCCAGACAGAGGCCGGCCCCTGGGCAAGAATCATGCTCATTCTTCTGGTTCTCAATGCGCTGTGCAAATGCCAGGCAGCTGCAGCCACGCGCTATTCATTACTAGCTCTGGGTCTGCAGAGACGCACGTGTGGCCCGGATTCACAATGGTCAGAAGGTCTCCGCTGTCTGGGAAGAGACCCCAAGGGCTCAGACCACACCGACAAAGCCCCCCGTCGGACCCTGGTTTTCCAGTTGCTTTACCAACCCCAAATCCACCCCACACAGTTTCCTTCCTTGGCAGGGAAGGGCGCACAGCACTGGTCAGACCCCCCCGGGATGGTGCTGAAGTTTGGTTCGGCCTCTCCGGGGCTCTGCTGATGCGCATGCTGTCCTACCTTCCCCAGGCGAGGGTACCTGGCCTCGGGGAAGCCCCCTCCCCACACACAGGCTGCCGAGGACCCCTGCGGCCTGAGATTCTCTGCGTCTCCCCTCCCTGAGATCCTGCACCACTCTGGGCTTCCCCGCTGCCCGCTCCCTTTGGGACTCAGCTCCCCAAGTCCCTGTCCCAGCGCGCCCTCTGCGTCTGTCCCCAGCGCCGCCCCGCCCACCCCTTCACAGGTCCCCTCCTGGTCTCGGCCCCACCCCCAACACCGGGCCTCCCGCAGCCCCTACCTCGCCGCCCCGCGCGCTCTCCGGAGCCACCCGAGGGCAGCCTTGGGCTGGGAAGACCCGAGAGGTCCCTCGTGACGTCAGCCCACGGGGCAGGGACGAGGCGGGACCGAGGAAAGTGCCTAAGAGAGGAAGGGACGAAGAGGAGGACCTGCGTGAGGAGCCGCACTGAGGGGGCACCCCCACGTTCCCAGAAAAGCCCCCGGGGAGGGGCCTGAGAGCTTAAAGCCAAGTAAATCCAGCTGCCTGGATTCACCCCTAGCTGAGACAGGTGAGCTGTCTGGAGTGCTGGAGCACTTTCTAACATCCATTAAACCCCCTTGCTGCAGGGCTGGAACAGGGATAGAGAGCTGATGAGCAGGTGGCCCCCGAGGAAAGTGAATGTGTCAGCGTTGGGAGGGAGACAGACAGAGGGAGTATGCGGTCGTGCCCTTGGGTTCCTGCAGAGGGGAAGGGACATCCATTAATTCAGGTGGCAAACAGCACCACTTCTGTGCCAGGTTAGGAACAGGAAGGGTGGGCGATGGGGACACTACCCTGTCCCCCAGATCCCTGATGTGGGCAGGAAGAACTTGGGGTCCTGCCTGCCCCCCACACACCCTGCTGGGTTGGGGATATGTGCTCAGAGGGAGCTTCCTCCATGTGTCCCTGTGGCTCTGGGAGGTGGGAGTCACTCCCCGATGGCCTCCACTGTCCTCTGCTGGCTAACGGGAGGAGGTTTCTGCCCACTTCCTGGCATCACTGGGGTGCTGGCCAGAGTAGGGGGCTCAGTGATTGGGACACAGGAAGAGGGCCAGGAGTCTCAGCTAGTCAGCAGGCTCTTCTTAGCTGCAGCTGGCGCCGGTGAGGCCCGGCACCCCCAAGACCAGCTGGAGCATGGTCCTGGACCCCTGCCAGCCACCCCCAGCTGGGGCACACTATGTGCCCCCCCTTGAGGCGAAGGTGACATCTGGCTCCAGTGAGGGCCTTAGACCTTTCCCCAGCTGCCCTTTAGGACAAAGCTTCCTTCCTCCAGGCCCTGGATCGCCCACCCACCCTGCCTCATTCTGCAGAACCGCCTCTGCGCGTGGCTGATGGGTGCGTCACCACCACTCTCCAGCCACCGCAAAAGAGCTTTCCTTAGGCCTTAAAAAATGAGAACAGTAATTCTCTACTGTAGACAATCTGGGACCTTTGGAAAAATAGAAAAACTGAAGACCCCGTCATCCATTCTCTCCTAACTTCAGCCACTCTCCTGATTTCTTGCCAGACAGCCATCCAGTGTTTTTTCCTCCACATTCAAATTTTTTTTTCCTGCACTGGGGATAGAACCCATAACCTCATGCATGCAAGGCAAGGGCTCTACCACTGAGGCACAGCCCGCTCCTTGCATCCCACTCCTTGGGGTCCTGCCTGCCCCCACCACACCCTGCTGGGTCGGGGATATGTGCTCAGAGGGAGCTTCCTTCATGTGTCCTTGTGGTTCTGGAGGTGGGAGGCTTCCACTGTCCTCTGCTGGCTAACAGGAGGTTTCTACCCCCTTCCTGGCATCACTAGGGGTACTGGCCAAAGTAGAGGGCTCAGTGTCCCCAGAGAGCATGGGGCAGTACTTTATTTATTTGCAGTATTGAGGGTTGAACCCAGAGCCTTCATCCTAAACTACATCCCTGGCTCTTTCTCTTTTTCTTTTTCTTTTCTTTTCTTTTTTTTTTTTTTGAAACAGGGTCTTGCTGTGTTGCTAAATTGCCAAGGCTGGACTTGAATTACAATCCTCTTGCCTCAGCCTCCTGGAGTGCTGGGATTACAGGCATGTCCCACCACACCCAATTCTTTAAATACATTTTTTAAGGGACTCTCCCACATACTCCACTTTGCTGACAGCTGAGTCACTCAAAGGCCTCCCTGTTAGTGGCTGCCAATCATACCACCTTTATCCTGACGGTCCACACTGCCACGTTCTGCTTTGTGGATGAATCATCTGCTGCTTTGAGACATCTGGGTTTTCCCAGTTTCTCTCTGTGGAGCTCATGGGGATGAGTAATCTGTCTCCACAGATCTTTGCACAGGTATCTGATGTGTAATTTATCCACTTGGGATAAATTCCTACAAACAGATTCTTACTCAAAATGCTACAACACTTCTGTCACGTGTGTTTCCAGTGTATTTCTGTTAGGAGCAGAAAACTCAGGAGAGAGACTATTCATGCTGTGTCCTAGCACCTGCGGGACACCTGCCCCTACCTACACCCACCCATGCTACAGCAGGGAAAGGCCCCTGCGAGTCCCCATGGGTGAGGCCTCCAGCTACCCCACTGACATACAAAACCAGAACTCCAGGTGAGCAAGGCCCTCATAGGGTGTGTGGTACACAGGGAGGTACCCCACAGTGAGGGGCCCTAGATGGAGCCCCCAGCTGATGCCCCATTAGCCTACCCACCCCACACACGGGACACACTGGCCTCCACAACTTTCCAGTGGATGCCACAGTCCATTGCAGAAATGGGCCTTGATGTTGGACCCCTGTCCCTTCGACCCTGCAGACCTGGGCTAACAGACAGCTCAGCGTGGGGGAAGCTGCTTCACCTTGCTATGCCTCGGTATCCCCCAGAGTGGGTTGAAGAGCAGCCCCCAAAGATGTGCCCACCTGCACCCTCAGAATGGGACCCTACTTGGAATAAAAGTCTCTGCAGATAAAGGGCCTCAAGGGGAGATCGGGGTGGGCCGCAGCCCAGTGTGTGTCCCCAGAAGAGACAGAAAATAGGAACAACAGCACCTCGAGGGAGAGGTGCCGAGGCACAGCGGAGGGAGGTGGCTGTAGCCAGGGACACCTGGCGCCTCCAGAAGCTGGAAGAGGGAGGAAGGCCCTGCGGACACTTTGATCTCAGACTTCTGGCCTCCAGAGTCAAACTCGTGCTGCTGTGAGCCAACGCGTTTGTGGTCAGTTGTTCTGGCAGCCACAGGGAACTCATCCGATTTGGAAAAGAGGAAAATCCTTCACACAGATCGATGTAATGATTGGGGAAAATCTTACACACATTCTCGGCACATAGGTCCTTACAGCTGGGCAGGTATTCACTCAGCAGACACTGACGCGCTGGGCTGCAGGACAGGGTGCTTGGCCTCTCTGTGCGCCTCAGCCCTGGCTTCCCTGCAGTGACAGCCTCCGTGCCAGCAGGCGGGGTGAGGGGATCAGCAGGGCGGGGCTGGGATGATCTCCTGGGCTTGTGCCCCAGGCCGAGAGGCCTTGGGGCTGATGGAGGCCTGAGGGTTTCTGCAGCCATCCTGAGGCCACCTGGGAGTGGGAGGGGTGGGGTGAAGACGGGGTGGGTGATGTTCAGCTGGGAGGACATGAGGGACCCAAGGCAGGAGCCCAGCGCGCTTCTGCAGGACTTAGAGTCTGCTCACAGGGAGTAAGGATGCAGAGTGAAGGCCTCCTCCAAGCTCCTGGCCTGTGCCTCAGTTTCCCCAGGGCCACCTGCTCCCCCAGCTAGAGTATTCACCCCAGGTCCCAGGCTCTGAGTCCCCTTATTCCCTCTGGAGAACAGGAGGAGCCGGCTGGGGGTGCAGTGCAAGTCCCCGCCCAGCGCACCGTGGAGGCCTCAGGGCTCGCACCCTGGAGGGGCCACCCCTCCCCCAACCCGGTTCCTCCGGGCTGCAACAAGGCTGGGGGAGGGGCTTGGGCAAGGGGGCACTGCCTGCCCAGGGCTCAGTCTCTCCACCTGTGTGTCTGTCTCCCAGTTTCATTTCTGCAGTTTGTCTGTCCCCTGGGCAGATTTTTTTGTCCTCCCCCTTCCCTGCCCTGTTTTTCTCTCTCTGTCCCCATCTCTCTCTGTTTCTCTCACTGGTGTCTCTCTGCCTGTCTCTGTCCTGTGTCTCTGTAGGTGGGTGTCTCTGTCTCTCCATCTGTCTCCCCTGGTGTCTGTCCCCGCCCCCCTCCCTCTCACCACCCATCTTGCTTTTGTGGTCAGAGCAGGGAGACTGCCCACGGGTGGCTTCTTCCCCTGGGAGAGATCTGCTGGGACTAAGGTGCCCTTGGAGCAGGGTCCCCAGGCCCGCCCCTCAGCCTGTGACACCTCTCAGAGCCTTGGCCCCGTCAGAGCCTGCAGGCCCTGCACTGGGACCCAACCCAGTGAATGTGGCCCTTGGTGCACAGAGCAGGGTGCACCAGCTGCTGGCGCAGGGCAGGGGGTTGCGGGCAGACCTGGATCCTCGGGGCTGAGCTGCGTCCCATCCAGCTGAGACAGCTGGTGAGTCCAGGCGGGCTCCCCTCCCAAACCCCTACCTCAGCTCACCCAGGGGCTGCGAGGCTGATGGACTCGCCACAAGGAGAAGGGGTATCCCAGCAGGAGCACAGGCAGCTCCAGGCGCTCTCCAAGCTCCCCAATGGCAGCAGCCCTGCTCGGCACAGGCTCATCACTCGTCCTTGGTCATCCCCGGGACTTTGAAGGCTCTGTGTGTAGTGATCTGCCCAGGGTGCCCACCCAACGACACACCCCAGGATCTGGGAGTCCCTCCCCCTTTGGGCAGCAGGCGGGGGCCCCAAGAAGGCAGAGCACAGCAGAGCGAACCTAGGGCACCCAGGGCAGGGGCTGCCTGTGAGGAACCAAGGCACAGACCATGCCCAGCTTTGCCCGAGGGCTGCCAGCTTTGTGGCCATACAAGGTCACAGAACCTGTAGCCTAGCAGCTTTATCCAGGTCCTCAGGACCTGGGTGAGAGAGGCTGCTGGAGAAGGGAAGGGCCTTGAGGGGAGCCAGCGTCCATTGAAGGGGCCAGGACATCCCAAGCCAGTGCCTCAGCGGTCCCCATCAGAGTGGGATGAGGAGACACAAGGAGACCCTTCCTCCACCCGGCTAGGAGCCTGGAGAGGTGGCCCTGAGGGTCAGGGGCTCCCAAACCTCCCTCTATTGCCATCCCAGCCCACCTGCCTCCTTATCCACATGCTCTGTCACCAAGGAGCACCCTGCCACCCTCCAGCTGTCTGGAGTGCCCCAGTCCCAGCCCCCATGTCCTCCCGGGCCCCAGCCCCTGGCAGTGACCCGCCAGGGGCTCCCTGGCCACTCGCTCACCCTCCCTGCTTCACCAGTGCACCCCACCCTAGCTGGGCCCCCCAACCTTGTTCCCATGCACCCTGGCTGACCCCCTTGGCACCATGGTGCCCTGGGCTCCTCCCCGCCGCCAGGACAGGTCCCACCCACGGTCAGGCCCACAGCTGCCACCTCCTGGCAGCCCGCCTGCCTTCTGTCTCCATCCGCAGTTACCTGGTCAGTGGCTGCATGTGGCAGCGGGG